GCACCAACAATTACTGACAAGAGTCACAAGGGAATTATCATTCCAAGGCAAAACGAACACATAATTTTGCCTGTTTAGTTTTCCCAAGGCCTTCGTGTCAATAGGGTGCTTATCTATTCTGTTTGCTAGACCTGTCCCGGTTGTTCTGACGCCTTTGTCGCTTAAGACATTCATGAGCTGCAAAAATATAAAGAAATTGTCATAGAATATAAGGTCACCCCTTCGGGAGCTTCTCCACTAGACCCATAACAATGCCATATCCTAAGCCTAATGTATTGTCACATTTGGCCTAAGCTCCTTGTTAGAGTTCAATATGGGCAACATAACCTAGAGGTGTTGCAATGACCACTGTTGATACCCGAAAGTAACAGGCTTTCTCCTGATGCATTGCTTCTGTCCATGAGGGCCGTAATACGGTATCATGCTTTCATCCACACACAGATTTTATTCCAGTGGGAAGAATGTCACAAATCTTCCATTGAGAAGGTCTTACAGTGGTCAAACTTCGGCAAATTTGTCATCTGTTTGTTTGCCAGATGAAAATACATCAGGATTGTGTCAGGTCTGTTCTGTTCTGTTGTATTACCAATGGCTGCATTGTAACCATCTTGTTCTGGATCCCAATACGTGTGACTTCGTCATAATGATTCAGAGTCAGTGACGAACAGAATGGTAAGAAAAGCAAGCACATCAGTTGTGTAGTTGAGTAGTCACTTTTTGTACAGGCGTACTCAATTTTATTCTTCATCATGTGGTCAATAACAGAGTTGTCAAAGAAGCGATCCTCCTTTTAGAAATCAAGCGCAGATGCAGACCATTCTGGGTGTCTCAGAAGTCAGTCTTACTTGCTCCATAGTCTAGGTCTGCTGACATGTTGGGGCTCTATTGAAGAAGCAATCATAGGAGCAGCATCGTCCTTTTGTAACCTTTTAGTGATATTTGCTGGTTTCTCCTCTGATGGTTCCCACTCCATGTTAACTGTAATAACTGACCTATGGGGCATTACTAAGGTAGCTCAGCGTCATTGAGTAACTGCCGCGCTGATATATCATCAAGAGAATCAGCATAGTGAACCACGTCACTGATGTCATCTGCATCAGACTTTGCCCGTCGCCAAGGGGTGTAATATAAATGTTAGCTTCCAGGACACCGACACCTACTTCCATCATGGTCATAACGTCTTGCACAGAATACAGCTTAAGACTCCTATTGGAGAAGAACGATTTAACTAATTGTGATACGGTTTAAATACAATTTAAAACACAAAATGTGGTTGCAAGAAAGATTTGCTAGTAAAAGTAAGAATGTTTCACACTGCAATAATAAAATCAAACATATCCGGGGATTTACAAATAATGAACATACTTTTACTTGTAGTACCAACCATGAACTTATCTTAAGCTATATGTCTCGGTACCAATAGTTGCTGTCGTCTTTAACGAGAGATAGGCGGCAGCAGCGCATGGATGCAATAGCTATAACACATTTTAAATAATTATATGTAAAAATGCTATCAAGACGTATAACTTTACATAAATATAGCAACAATTTAGTGCATTTTCATTAATAATTACTTAAGGTAAAGTTTTTTCTCAGATTTTTTTCCATTTTTTTTGGAATTTGTGACCACACAAAGTAAATCTCCTTTTAAAATATAAACGGACTGGATAAAGTAATTGCATAATATTGCGTAGTAATATGTTATCTAACATTGCAGCCAAATATATTAAAAAGAATAGGCCATTTCGATGCCTTAAATCACTTTTTATCAAGTGTACTTAAAAATCGACGATAGCAGAAAATGGATTAACACGGCAGTGGGAACACAAATGCTGCTTGAATAGATGATGCAAATCTGCATCCTGTTGAAGGTAAGGTGTCAAAACTCAATGTTAATTTGGACGAAGATTCCCTAAGTCACAACACGCTTTCTGATAACTTCCTCAGTAAGCGTATTATCTTAAAATCCCTTTTCCACAATCGGCAAAAAAGAAAATTGGCGACTTTGCAAGTGGTCTAAATGTCCAAGAATTATGAAAATTGCTAAATCCGCAGCAGATAAAGTAGCTACGATGTTCTAGTGCAAACGTGACGGCTTAATCAAAAGCCCTGCAAAACACAGTGCTAGAATATGTTCGGGATGGTTGGAGAGCCTCCAGCATTCTGCATCAAATAATGCTACGCAACGGAGGTCTAGGATCAATAGGGATGAGCCTGTGCGCATGGAGCAAAGCACGAGAACAGTTGGAAATGGTTAAGGTTGCTGGAATCGTGAACTGTGAAAAGTAATTCCAGGTACGATGGTTAATTGAATAGCGTTCGTAACTCCTATTCGGATGAGCGTACATTAACTACGCTGACGGAAGGTCGAGGGGAAAAAAGTCCAAAAGGACTGATGAGTGAGAACTACTCATCCGGCGTCTGGTCTGCTTGACAGAAGTAAATAGCGCCGTTGTGGTGTGCGCTCATTATTTCATAAGGTGCTTCTGAAAAGTTATGTGAATAGTCTCAAAAAATAAGGAAACAACAGTCACAAACAAATATATTTGCTGACCATTAGGTAATCACCATTGGCTGCAACAGTCATCTGACATCACTTGTGAAACTGCTGGAAACTGTTGGCAAACGCGACATCTGTGGAGCTTTAGTTTCAGAGCCAATGTAAGACGGAAACAAAAAGAAGTCTACGGACACCAACTTCGAAGAATAAAGATAATGTTGAAGAAAATCCACCTTGCGCTGAGCTAGTTAATCATGCGGATCACAGTGTGCGGACGGGCGTTGTGTAAGTAATTCTACTCTCCATTCGTTAGTCAGTGTGTGAGGTAAAACCAAGCTCAACTCTTCTGGTTTTTAACTGTACGCAATACTGTTTACACGATCTTTCCTTAGCTACAACTCTTCTGTCGTCATTCTCAAAGATATCCATCGATCATCTGCATGCATGTGTCGTATATTTTCGATATTGTCTGGGATTACAACTGTTGGTGGTAGACAAAACGGGGCTCATCCTCGGAAACTTCCTTTCCTTCTCTAAAGCGTTTGACCAGCTTGAACATGCACATCCCACTGCTTCAACATTATACACTTGCAATAACATTTTATATGTCTGCGTCGCCATTTTGATTAATTTGTGGCTAAACTGCATGTTCTTCGATGCTCCGTTATGCGTTCAATTGTGTAATGACAAGATTCCTCAGACTGATTCCGGCAACTTGGCCGTAGCGAGCACCACTGATTCGCATCGGTGAGTTGCACGATAAGGAAGCTTATTGACTTGTTTCTCGACGCGTATGCTTGGGCCCCTCAGCCTAATCAACACGGCTTTCAACATTTGGGACAATTCATTAAGGTTTCAGGCCCACCTTTCATATTTGACAGCGTTGAACGTATACCTTTCCTGAGCTGACCATCTATGGACCCTGTTGAAGTCAGCCTGCAGTGCTACGTTGTATTTTACTTTCTTGAATGCCCACTAAATCTTGACATCATCCGCAAATATGGAAACTTTGAAGTCAACGTAACCGTGAGGTCGTTTCTGAACATGAAAATAACCGTTGTCCTAGTACCGAGCGTTGAGGACCGTAACTACCACAAGCGAGTCCGGCAGGGTAATATGAAGCTGCATATTTAAGTGTCCTTGGAGTAGGAATGAATGAATTCATCCTAGGCTAAGGTTACCGATCCTATAGCTCCAAGGTTTATAAAGAGGAATTTGATGATCAAGGTAATCAAATGCCTTCGAGAAATCAAGTCAAGCGGCGTCGACTCCTTCTCTACCATCGACGGGTTCCGTCCAGCTAGCATGTAATAGCAAAAGATTCGGGGTACATAAAGGGTTTAGCAGGAGGTGTAACATGCTATTGCACATTTGTAAACATTCCTTGAATGCATCCGAAACGACAATTTCCATGAATTTAGCAAAGACTGGAAGAATAATCATAGAGCAATAGTTTGGACGCACAGCACGATTGCCTTCCGTGTAAATACAGGTAACTATTCAATGTTTCCAAATAGTGGACCCTGTATCTCGTCGAGACAACGTTAGAAAAACCGCGATTATGATCTACGTTCGTGGCAGCTACCAGATTCGGGAGCATGCTTTCCTCTCCAGGTGAGCTATACTTGCGTGGTAACACCAGTCGTTTCAGCACATCGGCTGCAGTGAAGGAGATGTGGCCAAGACCTGGTGATGATGTGATCTGAGTAAGAAAGCTATGTGGTTGAGTTCCGGAAGGTGCAACTGAGTCGATGTCTGAGAACGTGAGCTGCTACCTGTACAGATTTCAATTAAGCGCAAACGATGTTTAGAGTAATGAATCACCATACCTCGGGAATTTTAATAAAATGCCTGTAAAGTAGCTTAGAATTTGACCAGAATTTTTTTTCTACATCTTGTTGGTGTTTGGATTTGTCGTCGCGGACCTGTTTGATGCAGTTTTCTTTCCCTTACGTTGGCCAGAAAACTTAGATATTTTTGTATTCTACTACATATGTTGCTCTTAACCATTTTGCATGCTTTCGAAATGGCGTACTTTATGCTAAAAAAGATACTGGCGTCGTGTTGAGAGCAATGTTATCTTTTCGTGACTATTTCCTTAGATAGTCTCAGAAGCAATAGCTTTTAAGAAGTTCTATGAACCAGGCTTGTGTCTTGGCTCTGAATTTACCAACGTATGAATTAATCATGATAACTATTCGAGGATGCCAGCCAATGAAACAAACCGCGTTAGTCCCAATTTTTCCCCAGGTAACTTTTCTCTTAGGTCTTTATTTTGTTTATAATGAATATGTTGATATATATATATATATGTATATGGAATTCTCACTGGTTGACATACCTCTAATCCATTTTTTTACACGGGAATACGCTTTAATGACATTTGCACAGTAGGCATATGTTCCGTGACATCAGTTGTACTTCAACTGACCTCAATTTATGACCATCGCCTTCATACAAAACCAGTTAATACGTTCCACTTCACTTATCTGTACCCCAGGCCTCTGGATCACATTCTGCACCCCGTGCTATGCGTGCTACATGTACGATCGATACAACGAGTGCTGGTGCAGTGGTCTTGTGATTCCCAATTCAATCACGACACTCCGCTCGTTTCATCGTGGCCGCGAACGCATCTACGTGAGTTCATATACCCCTGGATGATGGTATCCTGAAATTAATTTTCATCAACTGGGGCACCAGTTACCTTCACCTTGTCATCATTCTCAAAAGTACTTCTGAAATGATCTAAGGCGAACTCGCTTGACATAGTGCACTAAGTTCGTAAAAACAATGGCCACGAGATATTTGGATTAATACATATTTGAGTGCGGCAAAATAAGTGTTTCGTTACGTATCCGTGTAAGTAATGATAATGAAATTACGCTTAATAACCAGCAAAATAATGTTCACTCGCCGCGTACGTAGAATAACGCCCAAGAAACAGGGGAGTAATGATACAAATGCTGTTCGCCGGTAACAGCTACATGATGTCATATAAATGGTTGCTCATGGTACAGCCCTGCATCTGTTAAATAAATACCCTTTATGGCAAAACATTGAATATGAAACGTCTTTCGAAAGTTGAGATATATGACCGTCTGCTCGGTGCAGACCACAACAATTTAGCAGTCCCCGGTATAATGACGTAAGCACTCAAGACATATAGTCCAACGATTGCCATCTGATTCCGTTGCTGTCTTCCATCGATCTTCACTACATCTCACTGTATCTCTCAATGTCAGATGCTTTTGAGACAAAGGTAGCTCAAACACACAATAAGTGGCTCAGTTTAGGTGCAGGGACAAATACGGTCTGAAATGTGGCAGAAACAATAAATAACAACAACACGTAACAACAACAAAAAAAAACAATAAATTATCCCCTTTCATATATCAAAATGATAACTGCGAAAAAATTTCTTTTCGATAAATCTCGTCAGGCAATTACACAGATGAAATTCATAATCATCAGAATGGAAGTTATTACTAGCGATGTGGTGATCCGTCATCTATCCTCAGAACGGAATCGTGGCAATGGATGTCATGATAGATCTCTACCACTGACCATTATACCTGAAGCCCGGTGACTAGGCTACGACCAACGTAATGTTAAAGTTTTCACAAGTACACGCTGTTGACAGTTTCAGCTTGAGTCGCTTGATCGCAACCGTTTCCGCTGTCGCCAGTAGGCAATTCCTGAGTCCTTGGCGCAGCGTTCTGATATATATTCACTATTATGGATGCATCTTTCGCTTTTACGTCATTTCCACTGTCCACTAGGTGTTCCAGAATGAAGCTGTGTACATTCCTGACGGTACCACGTTGTTATGAGGTGGAACAGTGTTCCCTTATACCTTTGACAGACGTCTGGTCGTGTTTCCTAAGTACTTTGTACCACAGGTGCAAATAAACTGATATAGGAAAACTGATTCGGACTGGGCCGGAATTATGTCTTTTAAGCGGTGAGTGATGAGCGGAACAGTTTCGGCGAGGATGCAGACTCTGTCGGCCAGGTACGTTTGGTTTAGCGCGGAAGTCAGTTTTTACTCAAGCGCTCGAAATGTATGTTCCCATTGAACTCATGACTACTCGATCGGTTCCAAGTATCTTTCAAGAATTTGAAATAGGAAAAGTCCTTTCTCCTTACGATCATTTACGCCTTAGACTCCGTCGGGAGGTAGAAATGCTTTTCGATGAAAGCAGTTGGGTACCCGTTGATTTCTAGTGTGTTGAGTATGAAAGTCTTTTCTGCTTCTAGCGTTTCTGGGCTTCAAATCCCTGTAGACCGGTAGAAAAGACAACATACCAAATTTTGCCTGTACTTTGTCAGTACGAAACTGTGGAAATGCGTGTACTGTGCTACCCAAATCGTCTTTCGCAAAACCTATCTTCTAAGCGATCCGTCCTTTTGTCGCCGCAGCAAAACACCCATAAAAAGCAGCTTCCCGTCCTTCTCAGTCTCACAGGTAAATTTCAACGACCGGTATGTGCTGCTAAATTGATTCAATATGTAAAAATGATCTGTATATGCGTTACAAAAGCTGAACGTATCATCTATGTAGTGTTGATAATAATCGAGGGATTTAGTTAAGTGCCTGATAACCCCGTCTTCAACTTTGCGAGGAAAAATCTGCAAGCAAGGGCGATCCCATCGCAACTCCGTTTATTAGTCGATAGTATTTACAATCAAATAAGAACTGTCTGTTGAAGCTGGAAAGCAGAATCAGCTCTTTTACCTTTTGAACAGGGATACAGAGATAAATGTTTAGCTCTGCTAGGTATGCACAGATGAAACTAACCGTTTCCAACAATGTACCGTTCGTAAATAATGTCTAAAGATGAGAGTATTTATCATGTACGAATGCCACTGATGGTTATAATTTGTTGGAGGAAGCGCAACGCTCTTCAAGTGACATACCAAGAGGGATTATAACATCCTTAAAACATGTTTATTTGAACGCTGGTAGATCAAAATCCGTTATGGTATGTGTACATCAAACAAGCTTGTGACAGATAAACTGGCTCCAGTGTCGTAAAGTTTCCAGCTTTCGAAATGGATTTTGAATACTTTTCAGCAGGTATATCGCCCTACAAGTACTTTCCTTGGGTTCTACTGTAGCCCGTGTGTGTGAACAAGCGCAATGAACCGTATGACCTCGTTATGTCTGAGCAGTCAAACAAAGTTGGATTCACAGAGACGGTTAAATTCTGAGGGAACCCACAGAAGGTTGAGCCCAGTAAATACTATTTTCCCCACTGTTATAAATTGTCAAGTAACCACGTTGGCGTCATGCTCTGCATCTGGTCTCCTTTGTGTGAGAGATTTGTGAGCATTAACAGAGGCGACCATCGCCTATGTGAGCGGTTGCTGTTTTTGGTACACTTCATGCACTAAGAGTTGTTCGTGGGTGTAGCCGTCGCAGTCCTCTGAGCCGCTGTTTGGTAATGACACACGAATCTACCACTTCCTACTAATGTTCTACTTAAACTGCCCTCAAATTATCTGCCCCGAATCTCAAGTTTCCTGGGGAATTAGTGTAAAGTTAGTGGATGTGAAACAGGAAATCGGAGCAGCACCACACATCGACCAGCCGACAAGTATACTACCGAGCTGAAGTCCGTCGTGCCTGACATTTAGGAACTACGAATGCGAATGTATGACACCCGGATCCTGTAGCAATTGGCAGCATGCAATCTTTCAGTGATGATTTCCAAAATGGAGCTCCGCTTGTCATAATCTAGTCAGCTGTAGACATTCTTCAACTACTTGAAAACCAACTTCCGTGGCCCATTACTATCTGTGAGCTAAGTAGCTTGGTGTTGACTTCATAGCGCGCTCACGAAAGCTTTTTGTTTAGTTGTGAAATATGAAGTAATTGGGAATTTGAATCAACCAAATCACAATAGCCCGATAAGGAATATGATAAACCTGTTTAACGGCGACGGAGACTGTGGGTGTACCACCTTTCTACGATTTTAATTTGACTGTGACACGTATAAGCAAAAAATATCTGCAAAAAGCAAAGAGGAACGACTACATTTTAGAGATTACATCAAAACTTCTAAAAGAAGATTTGTCTATGCGAAACAGCATCAGTGGGCTGCACGTGACCTACCAGTGCTGAATGCCTCGGGCTGGCAGCCGTTAAACCCCAACACTCAGCACACCTCGGTTTTGGCGGCGCAGGTCGCCTCTGGATTCGTAAGCGACCAGATATCTGTACCTAATCCTGCTTGTACCTTCCCACAGAACTCGACAATTCAAATTACGTAGGTACTGAGGCGCATATACAAATCGGCAGCCTTGGCAACACGATTGTTGTCGTTCCTTTTGGGATTCACCAGCTGATTCTCAGGTCACTGAGTGCGATAACGACCATTACCATGAATGATTTACTCAACAGGTTGCAGTCCGAAGTTTCACAGCTGAACAATCGGAAATGCTCGTTGGTATGACCAATTTCAAAGCACATTGAGAACATCAAATTGGATAATTAATGGCATAATTATCTGAACTTTATTTTAGCCCCATTAAAGGATAGAATCAGGATGATGGGTCTATTACATTTATTCCAGTCTAAACATTAACTTATGGCCGCAAGGCTTGGTTTCACGCAGGACAGCTCATGCGTTACCAAAGTATTCTGTGACAAGCAGGCAGAGAAAAATAGAGGGAGTAAGTTAAACCGAACAAACCATGAGAATCGTCCTCATGGGTTGATGGTCCACTGTGTTGTTGACTAACTACAATCACGGCTCATCGCATTTTATTTGAACTAAGGTGCAGGATGTACGTGGACAGCCGAGGAACTGATGAATATGCATCTTGGAGTGGAGTACATTAAGGCAAGTCGCTTTGAAACATATTGTTCTCGATCTAAATCAAGGACAGTGACAAAGGACATAAGGACCACTGGTCCTTACCTCGCATGACCGAAAAAATACAACGTTCGGGTGCAACAACGGCCGTCCCTAAACAAGATTCCACCTGGAGGCAAATGTGGTGAGCCGAAATGTGCACATCGGGTCTCCTTCTATATTGTGCCCTTGGGTTCCACCCCAAGTATGGTGATGTATGTCGGCTAGATCCCAGGAAAAAAGGATCTGACTAATGCACTGGTTTTCCAAACATAAAGAGCAATTTCAGTGGCCAGTTATATATTAGTGCTAATGAAAAATGTGAAAAACTGAATAAAACCATCCAGTAAATGGGGTGTTTCAGGACTTTACCACTGAAATCTAACAAGAACAAACTTCTAAAGCAAATACCTTTGAGCTCTGTCTTTAAGTCGAAGGGTAAAGTCAGTCATGCTAAACGCCCCACGGCGCATACGCCAAATACTCTGACAATTACTAAGCCTATAAGTGGGCCAGTTAAAGTCGGCATGACTGCTTTTAACGCATTTCTGGATGCTACACATAACATGTTGGTGGCAACACTGGAAGCACTTGGCCGGATAACATACGCATCGGTCGCATTGCTAAGAATGCCATAAACAAACCCGTAGACTCATTTACCGATCTTCTCACTAGCGATGCGACGCTGTTTTCAAGAGGTTCTTTAGAGCCTGCTAAGAAATCCAACTTGCCAGTCACAACAACAAAACCGACGTTCGTTAGGAGAAATGCATTGTATTA